AGGTGGGTGCGCAAATAGGTTGGTCTGACGCCACTCTATGGGACCAACTCGCTGACGGGTTTCGGCTTGTAGGAGATGCGCCCTTCTCGGGGGTTTTCAAGGAAGACTTCAAGCCTGCCTCCCTGAACGAGGATGAATTGTTCGCACGGACTCGCTTGCTTCGGCTCATGTACGACGGAAGGAGCGAATTGACAAAGGAAGAAGCTGACTCGAAAGGCTGGCTTGAGGGACCGCATGAGATTCCTGATATTGAGGAGCGCTCTGGGGGCAAGTGGATCTTGGTCAAGAGGTTTCATGTTGTACAGTGGGGAAAGATCAGACCTATCGATGACTTCAGCCAAGGTGCGGTAAATGATGCCTTCGGATGCTGCGAGCGTGTCGAGCTGAGAACTTTGGATGAGCTGCTTTGGGCGTGCGTCATTCTGGTACGACATTGCAAACACATGTCTGCGTTTGAGTACCCGCTTTCGGATGGCGTGATCTTGTCGGGCCCAGTTTCAAGTGGTTGGGGCAAAACAGACTGGTCTCTTCGTGTCGGCGCGCTCGACCTCAAGTCGGCTTACAAGCAACTGCCCCTGCATCCTGCAGATACCTGGAAAGCAGTTATTGGAGTTCCTGCCCAAAAGAGGGGCGAAGTGGATCTTTACAGAGCACTGACTTTACCATTCGGAGCAAGGGCGTCCGTTCTCGGGTTTTGCAAATTTGCCAAGTTCTTGTGGAAAGCAGGCGCTTTCATGAGAATTATATGGGGCAACTACTTCGACGACTTCCCGATGATTTGCCCGTCTTGTTTGAATTCTTCGAATGTCGCAGCAGCTGCTGCCATGTTGAGACTGTTTGGTGTGGTTCAGGCAGAGGATAAACTTCAACCTGGGGAGCGCGCTGCTGAAATTCTTGGCACAGTTGTCGACGCGGGAAGGAACAAAGAGTCGCGCGCTTTGGAGATTTGCGAGTCTTTGCAAGAGATTTTGGAGCGGGGCTTTTTGGAGACTTCAGAGCTGCCACCTATCTTGGGTCGCATTCAGTTCGCTGACATGCAACTTGCTGGTAGACACGGCAAGCTGGCGCTGTGCGACTTGAGGCGGCCGGGAGCTGCGACAGAATCTCGAGATAAGGCACGGCCTGTGCTAGTTTTTGTGGACGGAGCACTCAGTGATGGACCTGGCAGACAAGGCTGTGGCAGCATTGGTGCAGTTTTGTTTCAGCCGGCACGGACTCCACTAGCGTTCGGAGCAGACGTTCCTGCTTCGGCGTTGGCGGCTATGAGAGCAGACGGTGCCAGTCATGTGATAGGTTTGATTGAATTGTATGCGCTAGTCACTGCGCGACATGAGGACAGAAACCGTGTTCAAAATCCAATGTGGCTGATGGACCGAGCAGAGATTCTTGGGACTGCTTGGTGAGTTTTGGAGCCAAACCACAGATGTGTGTCACTTGCCCCATCAGTGGGGAGAATTTGAAATGCTATAGGTTTGAGGAGTCGACTGAAGCAGACAAGGGGATGAAGAGAAAGATGCCGTTTTGAAGAGATATGGCACAAGAACTTTGTGGCTGTGTCTAAGAGACACAGCAAACATGTATGCGCTCCCCTTGTTCGCCGGTCGAGAAACAAGAGTCTTCCGATGTGCGCATGGGACACTTTAGAGCTCCGCTCTTTTACGCCTTGCGGGTTGTGGTTTCCTGTGCCCAGGTATGGTCCCTTGCTAATAGTTGCATGTACCGTATACATCTACTTGATGGTAACACTCGGATGTGTGGAACACCAGATTTGTACACTTCATGTCACGACTTGTACAGTTGTTGTCTCTTGAGTTGTGTACAGTTGAATCGTGATCGCAAGGCGTTCTGGGTCAAAAGTTTCGCATGGTAGCGGAGCCATAGATCCTTGCAATGGCACGGTGAGCTGGTTGGTTCTGCTGTGGTGTTTGTCACCTTTACAGTATAGCCCTTAGCTGGCAATGTTCGTTCAGATGGATGGAAGTGGTTTGAATCCGGGAAGCCCTGCACAAGGTTCGGCGCAGGGTGGAGGAGGCCAAGTGCAACAGGACATGTTGGCCATGATGGCACAGATGAGGGACGCGGTAGCGTACGCGGCCCAGGCAGCGCAAACAAGTTCTCAGGCGTTGCAGGAATTCAAATCTTCAATGGCCACCACAGGGCAGAGTTCTGGACTTAAGGGTGCTGACCTCAGTCGCATCTTGTCTAGACCAGACAGGTTTGCAGCAGCAAATCGAGAAGAGGAACTCAGTTCATGGCGTTCTTGGAGCTGGACAGTTGAGCAATATCTGGCAGCGCTGGACCCTGGGTTTAGTGCAGATTTGGAAGCAATGTGTGCTAACCGAGAGACCGAATTGTCGAGTGCTGACATGGAAGCATCAACACGAGCTCGCAGTCACCAGCTGTATGCAATTTTGTCTTCTATTTTGAATGACAGATGCAAAGCAGTTTTGAGATCAATAGGTCAGAACAATGGATACGAAGCTTGGCGTGTTTTGGAGAACAACATGGCCCCAGCTTCACGAGCGCGCCATCTTGCAATCTTGAATGCAATTGCTATGTATAACAATTTCAATATGCGTGCATCTCTTGCTCAACAAGTTTTGAAGCTTGAAGAGTTGTTCGAGGAGTACAGACGCGTTTCTGGTACAACCATGAATCAAGATTTGCAAATGTCCACTTTGCCTCGTGTGGTTGGTGGCCAACTCAAACAGTACCTCAATGTTAGTTTGACTGAAACCAGTACATACAACGACTTGAGAACCATGATCTCAGATGGGACGCTGCTCAGACTCGTTGGCAGCAACCTATTGCAAATTCCTTTGGAGCAGACAAAGGTGAAACGGATGCAGGAGGCCCAGCCCCTATGGACATCGACCGCGTCAAAGGTGATGGAAAGGGCAAGAAGGGCAAGGGCAAAGGCAAGAACGGCAAAGGCTTCAAAGGAAAGGGAAAAGGAGATACTTCGAAAGGATTTGGTAAGAATGGAAATGGCAAAGGAAAGCATGACCGCTCTGGAGGTAAAGGGAAGCAGGAGTATCATGCAGGCGGTGGCAACAACAAGCTTGATCAGAACACATGTTCATATTGTTTCAAGCAAGGCCATTGGAAACGCGATTGCAGGAAGCTTCAGTATGACAAAGCAAATGGTTCAGTGCGGCGTGCAGATGAAATTCCGGCTGATTTTCAGCAGCAAGTTTTCGAGTCTCGCGCGCCATCTACATTTCCAGCAGTCAGTTCCATGGCCCCATCCAACGTGAGTTCATCGAGCACAGCGTTCAAGAGCCCGGCGCCCACCGTTCGCAGAATTGACAGCATTCCACGTGTTGACCTTTCTCAAGACACACGGCCATTTGATTTGACCATTTACGACATGTCAGACAACAGCAGCCATGAGGGTTCTGTTCGCATGATCAAACATGACAAGGTCGACAGCGTTTGCTCATGTCTCGATGTGTGCGATTGTGCGGAACTACCTCATCCCGGCTATTCTGCTTATGCTGGTCGCGAGCTTACTGCTAGGTGCCCAGTATTCGACATGGCAGTTTCAGATGCAGATGGATTGTGGACTTTTCCTGACTGCTTGAATTTGAGCGAAGTCGCAGATGGCGAGCAGGCTGACGTGCGAATGGTAGCCAGTGAAGCACCTTTTGAAATCATTCTGGATTCAGGAGCTGACATCTCAGTCTTGCCCATTGGATGGGAAGGATGTGGTCAGCCCCGTGATTTGGCGAATATGAGATTTCGGGATGCACAAGGGAACCCAATTTCGATGTCTGCTTGCAGAGATGCGCTGGTTTTGTTGGGAAGCAGTGTTTCCGGTCACAGCACCGTTGATCGCGCTGGGAAAGCTCATCAAGGCAGGCTGGAGTGTGCAGCAGGGAGCAAACGGTTTGGTTCTTGCAAAGGACAATGATCAGATTCCATTGCGTTACAAGCGTAACAGCCTATGCACCATGGGATACATTCGTGCGATTTCACAAGACGAAGCAGCTAGTTCTTCTGTACCCCCGAGCGGCAGTGTGCAGTTGGACTTCGAGGTGCTGCAGCGAGTGGAGCTCTCAGAAGAGTTGCAACAAGTCAGCGCAGGCTGGATTGAAGTTTTCAAGGACTGTTTTGCGCTCAAGTGCACCTCAGACGTTTATCTTGACATCACGTCTTGTCTGCCTGAGAAGGGATGCAAATTCAGGACCACAATGATCCTGGATAATGGTGTCTGGGAGTTGGTTGAATTTGGACAGGGCATATCCGAGCTTGCAATGCAGTCCGGGCCGATTCCAGCTTTAGAAGGGCCAGTGGAGGTTCTCACCTTGGCTCATGTGTATCGTCGCAAGCCAGGGCAGTTGGGATTGAAAGTCATCTTTGACGAAGATGAGCCGCCGGCAATTGCAAGTTCAAGTAAGCCTGATGTGGTTGTTGATGATGTTGCAGTTGAAGAGAAGCAGCAGCATGAATTCAGCCGCATCTCAACACGACAGGCCACGCCCCGAGGTGGCCGATCACATCCCCGGAGGTTGCAGCTGACGAAGTCATGGATGCAGGCAGAGAAGCCAATCTCGGAGATAGACCAGATGTTGAACCAGACGAGGAGAGACCTGCAAAGCTGGCCAAGGATATCAAAGCTGTGGAGTTTTCAGTGGAACGTGAGGACATGCCTCACATGGATGAGCCTCTGGAATGTCGCTTCACGGAGGAGGAGGCAGACCAGTTTGAGCATATTGGGATTACACTTGCAACGAGCAGTTTGATGATGAGTATGAGCAGTCTTTCAGTCCTGAAGGCATGCTTGATGCAGTTGACGAGCATTCGAAGAATTCTTTTCAGCGAGTGGATGCGAGTGTCTTGTATTTCCCTGGTGCAGACAAAGAACCTCAGTTGGACGAGCAGAGACTTGCAGAGCTTGACGAGATAGCAGAGATGGTTGAGATTCAAAGGCTGACAGACATGGGTGTCTTACGACAAGTGAGAGACTCTGAGTGTGAGAAATTGCAGACATCCCATAGGAGCCTGAACACGCGCTTTGTGCACACGTGGCGCTTCAAGCGAGTGAATGAGGAAGGCAAGTGGCTTCGCCGAGCTCGGCTTGTGGCGAAGGAGTTCAAGCACTTGGACAAGGAGAGACTAGGGCTTTTTGCGCCTTCCAGCAATGCAATCATGTGCAGAGTTGTACAGGCCCTGTACACGCACCATCGCCAGAGCAAAGGTTGGATCATGTGTTCCTTCGATGTGCATGACGCTTATTTGACCGTGGATCAAAAGAAGCCGACCATCATCACCACATCTCTCTCAGGTGAAACGGTTACACATGAGTTATTGAAATGTGTTCCCGGGCAACAAGATGGAGCAGTTCTATGGTTTGATAGTTTTTCAGATCACTTGAAAGAGATAGCAGATGTTCAGACATGTCCTGAGGTACCCGCATTTTTCAGAATCAGATCTTTCGATGGAAGTTCCAATTTCATGATCATGCTTGTACATGTTGATGACTGTTTGCTGACAGGGTCGCCAAAGGACATCAACGATTTGGTTACAACGCTCAGAGCTAAGTTTCAGCTCACGGTCGAGTATTTGCGGGGCCCAGGCGATGAGATTTCATTCTTGAAGCGCAGGCATGTGCTCCTGGAAGATTACACGTTAGTCATTCAGCCCCCTTTGAAACATTTTCAGCATTTGGTTGAGCTGGTTGGTTTGAATGTGGATGTTTTCAGACCTCGCAAAACGCCCATGCCAGTAGGCATCAATTATGTGGAGCAGGACACAGCTGAGTCGACAGTCAAAGCCTTACGAGAGGCGTGTGGCAAGTGCAGTATCGGACGATCGGGAGGCAAGAAAGTGCTTTTCAGTCGGTTGGCCCATCATGTGCAGGCAATGGACAGTTTGCAATCTCAGCAGTTGGCAAAACGTTTGCGAGAGGATGACGAGAGGGTTGCAAATCAAGTTGCGCCAGTGAAGGAACCCACTCCTGAGCAACGGCAAGCTCATGCAGTTACGCATCTGCCGTATGAGCCCTGGTGCAAACATTGTGTTGCACACAAAGCTCGGAGCGATAAGCATCACAAGTCAACAGGCCTATCCCGAGGAACTACCAGGTTTGTCCATGGATTTTTCCTTTACTAGCAGAGACGAAGGAAGTTCTGAGAAACTGACGGTTCTTAACCTTTGCGACAGGGACACCAAGCTCGTGGATGCAATCCCAGTTACAAACAAAGGTGGAGTTGCTGCAGTAAATTACATGGTTACAGAGATTTGCAGATTCAGCAATTTGCTTGGGCATGGAGACATCAGTCTTAGATCAGATGGAGAACCCGCAATGCAGCATTTGCAGAGCAAAGTTCAGGAAGCAAGGTTGAAGATGAACTTGAGGACCAAGCCCGAGCTGACCGAGATGGGAGACCGCAAGAGCAATGGTCGCGCCGAGCAGACATGCCAGTCCATTCGGCAGATGGCTGGAGTTTTGCTTGAAGATTACGAGGACAAGGTGAAGAAGCACGTGACCGCAGGACATCCTCTTCATTCTTGGAGTTTTCGGCACGCAGCATGGCTTTTGAATCGGTTCAATCCTCAGCAAGGGATGACTCCATTTGAGAGGTTGCATCAATCTGCTTATACAGGGAAGTTGGTTTGCTTTGGCGAAGCGATCGTGGCCCGAGTGAAGAGTTCCACAAAAGGGAAGCCGCTTGGGTGAAGGCGTTGTGGCTCGGCAAGCTAGCAATATCAGATATGCGCGTGGTGCGCACTAGCGGAAGCCAGTTGATCTTGACCAGATGTGTTCGGCGCTTACCAGATTCAGAGCGTTGGGACGCATCCATGCACGACTGTTTGCGAGATCATTCTTGGGAGCATCCTGGGTTGACAGCAGGACACTGTGCATATGCCAAGCGAGCACGATCGGCAATACAAGTGGATCAGCAATTTCATTTTCCTGTTTTGGAGGATGGTGCGCCTTTATCAGCTTTGCTTCCCACAGGCCAGATCGTGGAGTCAGGCGTTGCGAATGACGAGGCAGCATCGGACCCGCCAATCACCAGCCGATGATCCTCTGAGACAAAACCTTGGTCGATGCAGAAAGAGGATCCGCCTATCGCTCAGCAGTAGGTTTGCCTTTGTACCTTTCGCCAGATACTGTTGAAAGTCAGCGTCGCGTCAGAATATTGAGTCAGTACATGACAGCACCGACAGAAGGTTCATTCAAGTTGTTGAAGCATTTGGTTTCATATCTTTGGGGCGCACGCGGGCATGCCATTGGGTTTTCTACCCCCTCCTTTGGAAACGGTATCATCACGGAGTCAGCAAAGCCCTATTTGCTCGAAGCTGTGAGCGACGCTGATTGGTCTGGAGATCGCACATCCAGACGATCTTCATCGTCAGGGAACATTTTGTTGAACGGACAGCTTTTGTATTCGAGCTCTCGCGTGCAGAAAGCAGTTACTCTTTCGTCTGGAGAGAGTGAATTTTATGCCTCAGTGAGCACAGCCTCAGATGCCCTGATGCTTAAGGCAATGATTTCATTTGCTATTGATAGCAATGCTGAAGCTCATCGGCGATAGCGCGCGGCAAGGGGCATACAGAGCAGGCGGGGCTGTGGCAAAGTCAGGCATTTGTCTGGCAGGTATCTGTGGTTGCAGGAAAAGGTCAGGAGTTGTTGGCGCTAAGTGGAACACAGCAGACCTTGGCACGAAGGCCCTTAGCAGGCAGAGGATTCGTTTGCTTTTGAGTTTGCTGGACATACGCGATGAGCTGGCAGACTTCAGTTGTGGGATCAGATGAGTTTGATGAGGAACGCGTGCGACATCACTTGAAAGGTGTCATCAGGCGTGTCAGCCAAGAGCTTTGTGCGCTTGAGTCGTCATCTCAGAGGATGAAGCAGGCCAAGCGGTTGGTGAAGCTCGGCCTTTTACAATCGGCAGGCGTTGGAGCTGCTGGCACCGAGAACGTCTTGAGCCGAGAGCCCAATACGACAGCGCAGTTGACAGATGAGTATCTTTTCCATGATGTGCTATTGGTTTGCATTGGATGTGTTATGCTTGGATTTTCTATTTATGGTATGTACACTTTTGCAGTAAAAGTGTGGAGCAGATTTTCGGCAAAGAGACGCCCTTGCGAGCGTGACCAGGGAGCAGAGTTCAAGCTTGCGCCTATCCATGAAGGCAGTGAAAGCAAGGAGCCATCACTGAGTGCGAGCGCTGTCCTTGGCAGAAACGATGTGAAGGAGCCCTATGTGTTCGTTACGAATCACGGCAAGCGCTACCACAAGTCTGGTTGCAAATGGATTGCAAACAGAATGACATCCAGATTGCTTGAATCCGAAGCAGTTGGATCGCATTTGAAAAAGTGCCACACCTGTCATCAGCGTAGCAGCGCAGTGCAATTGCGTGGCAGATCGAGCAGGATTTCAGAGAACTCTGGATCTTCAAGTGCAAATGATGTGGCATGAGAGAAATGGAATCCGGTTTGCTGTATGGATGGCAGCCTAGCGTTTCACGTGTTTGCTTGCTGGTGCCGTACGAGCATAGGCATGCAGATTAGATCAGATGAATCTTTCGTGCACCTTCAGATTAATCTGAGGCGGGGTGCTAATAGTTGCATGTACCGTATACCTCTACTTGATGGTAACACTCGGATGTGTGGAACACCAGATTTGTACACTTCATGTCACGACTTGTACAGTCGTTGTCTCTTGAGTTGTGTACAGTTGAATCGTGATCGCAAGGCGTTCTGGGTCAAAAGTTTCGCATCCCTCCACGCGGCGCCTCGCTCATCGCGGTGGTGGGTTCTTGGTTCTCCTGTTCGTGTTGCGTGGTTCGCTTTGTTCGTGTGCGTGTGCGCCTCTTGTTTGCCTTTTGGCTCAAGCCATTGCAACAGTGGCTTCGGTCATAAGTTTGCTGTTGGTTCACCAATGGCTGTCTATGACCTGGCTATAGCGAAACAAGTTGAGCGCTGTTGCTGATGCGAAAGAGTGTAAACACGTTTACACTATGTCCGAGGCGCCACGTTTTGCCAGCGTGTTGAACCCATTTGACAATTTGTGTCATACCAACCTGCGAGGTTTGAACGTGTGAGGGATTTTAACATGCTGGGTTTTTGACACGTCACGACGTTTTCGATAGTTGGTGGTTCACGAATGAACAGGATGTCGTGACGTTTTGGCACAAGTGTCCAAAGGGGCACGATGGAGTGCCAACAAACAGTGAGTCGAGTTTGTTTTCACCCGCCCTCCCTGCTGGCGAAAACAATGCTGTGTTGCGGTCATGTGGTACCGCAGGGGGGGATGAAGAGAAAGTTGCCGTATTGAAGAGAGATGGCGCAAGAACTTTGTGGCTGTGTCTAAGAGACACAGCAAACATGTATGCGCTCCCCTTGTTCGCCGGTCGAGAAACAAGAGTCTTCCGATGTGCGCATGGGACACTTTAGAGCTCCGCTCTTTTACGCCTTGCGGGTTGTGGTTTCCTGTACCCAGGTATGGTCCCTCCACGCGGCGCCTCGCTCATGTTGCGTGGTTCGCTTTGTTCGTGTGCGTGCGCGCCTCTTGTTTGCCTTTTGGCTCAAGCCATTGCAACAGTGGCTTCGGTCATAAAGTTGCTCAGGCAGTTCTGGAATTGTGCTTTTTTCAAGGAAATGGGGGCGCTGATGGCTGCGAAGAAAATGACCGCCAGGGCCAACTGATGATGCGCGTCTGGGCGGTGCAGCGCGGCCAGGAGGTCATCTACAAACAGCCAAGCTCTGCGCGGGTGGCGTGACAGGATGCCGTGCAAAAGCCTGAATGGCATACTCTATAATGATACAGAGCGTCTGCGAAGCGAAACAGGAGCACGCCATGTTCGCTTGGATGCACCTGAATTTGCTTGTGTGCGGCTGTAAAGTCAAAACTTGCGCCTTTAAATGAAGCGTGCGTGTCTTCTGGCATAAACGCTAGGCGCACATCGGATGCCGTGGGCAGGCTGATGCGTTCTGGGATATTGCAAAGCATTCGAAGTCGCCAGGGCCGCCTCATCACATGCCCACATGCCCAAAGCGTTGAGCCAGCCATCAGGTTCGCCCGACGCAGAGACGCATGCATCACCGGCCAGCGCATGGGCAGAACATTTGCCTCCTAAACTGACCCCGGAAGTGGTGCAGGACCTGGTAGACAAATTCCAAAAGAACGGACAGCGTGCCAAGCATCCGCCTGCTAAGCATGGTCTACGAGATGACCAAATCCAAGCACTTTAAGTGGATACCATGGCAATTACGGCTCTCAGCACGCCAATACCAGGAAGCCGTAGAGGCGCTCCCACAAAGCCGCATTCAGCAAGTGTTTCGCAACGCGCTCGCCCTTTGCCAAGCAGTGCATCTGCTTAACGCCAAAGCACTAGACCAGCAAATCGCCAACATGTGCTTGCTTCAGCCGGACCTCTCACTCCGCACAGTTACAACTTCGGAGCTTCTGCATGCCGATCGCAAAATTTGGGGCACCATCGTCGACCTACTGCAACGCAAATGGTCCATGGACGATGCATTCCATGAGCTCACGCACGGCCGCATGGAAATACACTCCCTGCTCATGCTTCGCCCGAGAACAAGCAGACAGCCCCTAGCGGCGCCGCCCAGCTCCCAAGCCGCCTAAGGCGGAACCACCCAGAAAAAAGGGTAAAGGGAAAGGAGGGGAAGACGCGCGACAATTGGGCGGCAACGCATCAAGGCAAGCCGATCTGCCGCAGATTCCGAAAGGGCATCTGCAAAACAGACAACTGCCAGTTCGCGCATGTATGCGCCATAAAAGGCTGCCAGCAAGCGCACGGGGCTTCGCAACATCCTTCCAACCGCACCTGAAACAGTCCGGAGGCCGCTCCGGCCGCTCCTCCGGACAGTGCAATCCCACAGCCGGTAGCGCTCGGCGCTGCCCACCCAAGTCGCACCGCAAGCCGTCCTGCAACGCATGCTTTATCGCCCGCGAACGAGGCGCTCCAGCCCTCACTGTCTGCACCAACGCACCGTCCTGCAGCCAGGGATAGGACAGGCAACTCCCAACATTGCACGCGCAGCTGAGGAGCGCATACTGCCCCACATCAAAGAGGATTCCTCTTGGATGTTTTCGCAGGAATCCATGCACCCATTTCAGCAGCTGCCGACAAGCAAGGCCTCTCACGTTTCGAGGCTTTTGACCTAGAGGCCAATTCAGAGCACGACATACTCGACGATGCATGCTTTGCTACTGCTATGCGCATCTCTTGGTCAGGCATCGTCAGCCTGATTACACTAGCTCCGCCGTGCAAGGAGTACAGTAGACTGAAACTCCGCCCGGAGGACCGAAGGCCTTACGCACCCCAACCTGTATGCGCGGCGTGCCTGGCTTGTCTCCCGAAGAAGCATCGCGCGTTGCACAAAGCAGGGAAATCCACAGGAGGAGCAGAGAACTCTTCAAGGCGGTTGCCGCACAAGGAGGCGTGGCAGTCTTTGAGCAACCGCCCTCGAGCATGGCATGGCTCGAGCCGGAAAACTTTCAGTGCCTCAAAGCCTTCCACGGACACTTGGCCTGGGTGGATGCACGCCAGCATGGCATGTCTTTTGCAAAATCTTGGTGTTTCGCTTCAAACAACCCATGCATCCAGCATGTAGCAGCGCGTTGCAATCACCCAAAAAAGCACGCTAGCATCGCAGGCATGCGCAGCACCTCGGGCCAATTCCTCAGCGCGTTGACCGCAGAATATCCCGCGACTCTGGCCGCAAGCCTCGTCACGCATAAAACCCTGCATCCGTAGCCTGCGTCCCAACAGACTCAAAATCTGTGATGGAGCCGGCATGCATTCCACCGCAGACCATTCAGTACCCCAGCCCAGTCACCCGCTGGGCACGCTTGGCTGCGGCGGGCAACAACACAAAATTTGATTCCCAAAATTCTCGCCCACGTCAGCTCGGACACACCTGAGCCACCCTTGTCGGCCCAGGAGTCCGAAGAGGCAGCGCTGCTTGCTTTCGCGGCAGTAAACCTGCCCGCCCCAACCAGCCTGGCTCCCGACAACGGCCAGCCGTACCGGCTGTCACTGCTGCATGCACTG